CACTGTAGCTCTGGCTCTGTAGACCAGGCTGGCCTTAACTCCCAGAGGCCTGCCTGCCTCTGTCTCCAGAGGGCTTTGAACTAAAGGTGTGTGCTACCTCACTGGGCCAGCTACAAACTAAACCTCTGTGCAGTATGCACTAAAGTCAAGAAGCTGACCACTGGAGGGTGCGACTAGGAGGAGAGGAGGGAGGAGGCCACAGCCGGGTTACAAAATGAATAAATTGTAATAAATAATAATAATAATAATAGTAAAAAAAAGAAAAACATGATCACGGAAGCCTTTTATAGAAAAGGGATATTTTATGTCTAAGTTACAGTTGTCTCATAAAGGAAAATCTTCCAGTTAATGACAATGTGAATTAAAATCAATGAGTGGAAGTGCTTTTATTCAGAGAACCTTTTTTTCTCCTTTGAATAAAAACTAGAGTTTCTGTTTAAATTCAAAAACAAAAACAACAACAAAAGGAGCTGACCACTGTTAGTACCCTAGATGTCTCCCCGAGGCAAGCAGCATTTCATTTCCCAAATGTGTTTGGACTCAGTTAAAGGCACTTGGCAAGCAGCAATCCCCAGAACCCATGTGAAGTTCTAGAAACTGACTCCACAAGGTTGTTCTCTGACCTCCACATGGGTGAGGCATCATCTCTCCCCTGCATACACGCAATAATAAAGGAGAAGGATTATAAACATGACTCTTTGTGTTTTAGAATTGAATTTCAGAACTAGTTTTAAGCTACAAAACAATTTAAGACCTTTTTTTTTTTTAAAAAAAATATTTATTTATTACTTATGTAATGTGTGTTAGCATGTACACCTGCACGCCAGAAGAGGGAACCAGATTTCATGTTTAGATGGTTGTGAGCCACCATGTGGTTGCTGGGAATTGAACTCAGGACCTTTGGGAAGAGCAATCAGTGCTCTTTTATCTTCTGAGCCATCTCTCCAGCCCCCTTTAAGACCTTTTAAAACTTTAATTTTGGCTTCTTAGCTTGGCTTACTGTATTATGACTAGCCTTTCATTGTGAAATGAAAATCAGACAGATGCATTTTAAGAAATGGTATGTGTAAATTAATATACGTACCAATCATCTCTCTAACCTTTCTCTTCCCTTACAGACCACCAAATCCCATTGAGTTTCTAGCATCTTACCTTTTAAAAAATAAGGCACAGTTTGAAGATCGAAATTGATTTCTTGGGAAGAAAAGAAACATTTTGTTTGCTACTGTAGATTTACATGATTACGAGGCAGCTTTAATTGCCATGATTCCCCTCCCCCTCTGGAAGTGCAAGAACCTTCAGGGCCACAGAACTCACTTCTGGAGCTGCAGAAGAGAGCACACCCGGCTGTCAATCATCACACTTATTTAATGAGTATCATCTGTGCAATTTTTTTTCTCAGATTGTCTTTTACTTTTTTTTAAAGACCTTCAAAATAAACTTTTAAAACACCAATATTTTATAGTTTTTGTTGTGTATGACAAATTGTTTCCATGAACTGCTTGTATTTTTGAATGTGCTAAATCTGCAGTAATGACCTAGTAGTTGTAATATTTTCGGTATTTTACTTAAATGATCTCTTAGATCTCTGCAGAGGAGCTCTGTTTCCCATTTCGCAGACAAGAAGACAGACTGGAGAGGTTAAAAGCTTGCTGAAGACAACACTGCTGGTTAAGTGCTTACTGGGAGATCAGCCCAGTTCTCCCAGCATCTGATAGCTGGGCAACAAGAACTTCGGCCTCTTAGTATTGTTGCATGTCTGCTGTAGCCGTGGGGGCCGAAGGATGGCAGCTTAGAGTAGGAAACCTGTAGCATCTTTCAGAGGACGCATATTTGATTCTCAGCACTCACATCGTGGCTCATGGCTGCAACTCCAGTTCCAGCCGATCGGGTCCCCACTTTTGACTAGGCACACAAAAGATGTACACCTGTAACATTCAGACAAAACGTACATATAAAGTAAAAGGAAATAGTATTTTTGAGGGTATCCCTGTTGTTCCCTATGAAGAAATTGAGCTAGCTCCCCAGCTCTGAGTGGTGTGATGAGGGCACATATTCCCAGGAACATGTTCTCAAATGGGAGTCAGGTACATCAAATGGGTGAGGCATGGACAGCTAGTGGAGTGGGATTCTCCTGTCATCAGGATGTCCTCTGGGGTACTCAGTAGACAGTCCCTGTGCCCCACTGCTCACACTTAGTCATCCAGTTCAAACTAAAATAGCACTGAAGTTGAGACCCCTGCACTGGAAGCACATAATAGTAATCTTACTCTTAAGTTAAAAGCCTTTGCAAAGGTAATGTTAATAAGATAAATTTTGTAATTCTTAATGACCAGGCATGATGGTGCGTACTTTTAATCCTAGCATTGGGAGGCACAGATTGGTGGATCTTTATGAGTTCAAGGCCAACTACAGCAATATCACACCATTTTTTTTTTGTTTGTTTGTTTTGTTTTCCTTTTTTAGACATGGTCTCTATATAGCTCTCGCTGTCCTGAGACTCATTATGTAGACTAGGTTGGCCTTGGACTGATAGCGTTTCTTCTGCCTCTGCCCCCTGAGTGCTGGGATTAAAGGCGTGTGCCACCAGGCCCTGCTCAAAACCAACTTTTAGTGTAGAAAATAGTTACTTAATTATGATTGACAACTGTATGGCATTATAGTTACCATTTATATCTTTAGATCTAGGTCCTGGAGAAATGGCTCAGCAATTAAGAACACTGGCTGTTCTTGCGAAGGGCATGGGTTTGATTAGCAGCATCCACATGGAATCTGAAGCTTCTGGACTCTGTAGTTAGCCACATCCCCTCACACCTAACACACACACACACAATTAAAAATAAACCCGATGAGCTGAGGAGCTGGCTCAGGCTGTAAATTGCTTGCTGTGGAAGCATGAAGACCTGAGTTGAGCTATCCAGTGTCCATGTAAAATGCTGGAGGAAGCTTGGAAGCACTGCAGTGTCTCCTCATCCTAATGCCAAGGAGGCAGAGCCTAGGGGCCATCCCTGGGCAATTTAGGCTGATCAGGAAGCTCTAGTTGGGAAGAGACCTTGTCTTAATACAAGTCTTAATGATGTCCACTGTTGCTGTGATTAAATTACTATAACAAAGATTGGATAGTCTGTCTTGGAAGCTATATGCTCTAATGTTAGGTTCTGGAACTAGTTCTATTCTGTGCATCATATGGACTGTTATTTTTTTCCTTGCCCCTACTGTGAATAACATTTATGGAATGTCAAAGCCAATTCACTAGTGTATACACCTGAGATTGTCAATAATGAAAATTATATAAAATTGCTGATAAACTGCATTATGAAGTTAGTATTTAGGGGAGGTGGACATGAATAGGTTCGAACTGTCTTCTTTCAAGAGGCTGTATTGGAGCTGGGTGTGCTTGTACTGCCAGTACTAGGGAAGTAGAGATGGGTGGGTTCCCAGCAAGTTCAAGGCCAGCTTGGTCTGCATACTCATTTCTGGTCAGGCCTATGCAGTATATAGGAACATCTGTCTCAAAACAGCTGCTGTGATGGTAGCTGCCTTTGGCTCTAGCACTCTGGAAGCAGAGGGAAATGTATCACCTTGAGTTTGAGGACAGCCAGGCTTACATTGGGTGTTTCATCCAGGCCAGTCAGCTACTTTGTCTTAAAGAAAGAGAGAGAGAAAGAAAGAAAGAAAAAGAAGGGGCTGGAGAGATGGCTCTATGGTTAAGAGCGTTGTCTGCTTTTCCCAAGGACCCAAGTTCAATTCCCAGCACCCACCATGGCAGCTCACAACTGTAGAACTCCAATTCCAGGTGGTCTAACACCTTCACACCAACGCACATAGAATTAAATTATTAAAAACTGTACTTGAAAGCATTCTAGAGATGTTTAAAAACATTTATTTACATATATTTGTGTGTGGAGCGTATGTGCACGTAATCTTACGTGCCTGTGGAGGCCAGAAGAAGGCATCAGATCCCTGGAACTGGGAGCTACCCAAAGTGGGTGCTGACTCAATTTTGGTCCTCTGCAAGAACAGTGCAATTTTTTTTTTTTTAAACGACTGAGCCATTTCTCCAGTCCAAGAACTTATATTTTATTCGCCATTGTAGTCTTTGCTAAGTTTGATTAAGTGACACAAACTCTTGGGAGAAAGAAGCGATCTACCTTTTTTGTTATTGAAGTTAACCTCAGAACTTAACTCATAACAAAACTTGAAAACCTGGCAAATACCCCAACCAAACAAAAAGAATATTGTTACAGCATTAAGGAACACCGAACTTCGTTATTAGGCAGCGAGACATCTACTTTGGGACTTCTCCAGGATCTAGCTTAACGAGTATGATTTCGGCCCCAAATACTTTCTGGGAGATGGTCAACTGTTACTCTTCCTAGTTTTGGAATCCTGCACTTCAAAGCCAAACCACTTCCTTTTTGATTCTGCCCAGCACGTAAAGGAATTCTGTGCTGCTGGGTGACATTTGTAGTAAGCCTTACAGTCAGGCTCCTCGCCCGCGTTAACTCAATCCTGGGTATCCCTCCCTCCCGAATGTCACCCCCCACTTTTTACAGAAGGAAATACTTGAGACAATTTTTGCCACACTGCAGTTAAAGCTAAAATACAATTAGTAAATATAACTGTCAAAGACATTATTTGGTGGTAGAGGTGAGCCCGGAAGGCGAAGGTTACAGCCCTCCCCCCCATCGTCCCCCCCCCCCCCCCGTACGCTTCCCCGCGTGTCTGTTTCTCCAAATGAAACTTCCCGGCGCGGCCCCAGGGTTGCATTACCGGGCGACACCCCGAGGGTGGGAATCCACCAAGGACGCCGCGGAGGGGGGAACCCCGGCCGCGCTCGGCGCGGAGCGACCGCGTGTGCGTGCCGAGCCGGCGGCGCGCCGGGACAAGCCGGGCGGCTAGGGGGGAAGGGGTTCTCCCCGCCTCGCGGCTGCGTCCTGCGCCCCGCGCCCTGCCCCCAGCCTCTGCTGGCGCTAAACCCCGGAGAGCGGAGCGTGCACGCTGAGCCTCCTCGGCGGGCCCGGCCTCGGCGCTGGGCATGCTCAGTGGGCCGGACCCGGTGGAGCGGCGAGTAAGGACGCGTGGGCTTCCCGGGCTCTGCCTTTCCCGGGTTCAGGCCCCGGCCCCGGGCTGGCGGGGGGGGCGCCGATCGCCGCCGCCCCGTTCGGGGCCAACCGGCCCGGATGGCGCGGGGCCCGTCCCGCTTCCGCCGTTGAGCGCGCTTAGGCGGGGCGGGCGGAGGCGCGGGGCGGGGCCGGCGGGCGCGCGGCGGGAGGGAGGGAGGGAGGCCTGGCGGTGGGAGCGGGCGGGCGGGCGGGGGAGGGCGCGGAGTCACGGGGGTGGGGTCAGCGGGAGGCTCGGAAGGCCGCGCGCGCGGCGGGGCCCGGGGCGGCTCGCGGAAGCAGCCCGGTCGCGGCAGCGCCGGCGACTCCGCGGCCGCGCCGCTCGGCCGAAGCCGCCGTGGGCCCTATCTTCCGGCGGCCGGCGGAGTTCCTGGCGATTGTTGCCGCCGTCCGCCCGCCCGCCCCGGCTGCCATCTCCTCCTCTTCCTCCTCCTCCTCCTGGGCCGGGCCGGTCCCCTCCCCGCGGCCGCCTCCTCCTGGGCTGGGCCCGCGGCGTCTCGTCCCCTCGCGGAGCCGCCGCCGCCGCCGCCTCCTCATTCATCCTCGTGCACCATAGGCGGCACAGGCACCAAGATGTCCAACCGAGTGGTCTGCCGGGATA